AGATACACACTGTACTATGATTCAGAGAAGAGGCAAAGATCCTTATAAACTAATATCAGTAAAATAAACACAACTAAAACAAAACTTAATTATAACTACTCTTCTTATACAGGTCAAACAATGCATTGTACAGAAAACTATGCTGCAATTTGTGCACATAAATGCATTAAGTGGTGAGTTAAAATGAAACTGCAAGTTGCACTCTCTCCAGAGCTATGTTTAGGGTTTATAAGTTCACCATGGTCATGAAACTAAATAGTAAAAATGGAACTAAAGACATTTAAAGTAATTTACTTGCAAAAAGCAAAAATGTCTTCTTCTTCGTTGTAAGAATTATCCCATTAATTATTTATGTGTGTGAAATATATTGTTTACACAATTTATATTTGAATAGCTCTGAATAATAAAACTGATTGTTTTATCACGTAGGCTTTAGAAGATCTAGGAACAAAAATTACTAAATGATTAATGCTATTGGTAAAATGTCATATTCTACATTAAGCACAGCTGTATAGTTGCTCCTGCTATTTTGATCATTGAATCATAATTTGATGTGCATAATTTTTACATAAAAACTCTGAAGATGATGTAACTTGCAAACTAATTGAAATTCCTGATTGTTTTTAGTTCTAAAGCTATAAAGTTGTTTTCACTAATACTATTTCATACTTTCTACAGACAGCACAAATTAACTCCTTAAGTGTTTCTACCCCAGAGACTCATTAAGTATTAATTGAGCCTGCTGAAGAGCACCTCAGAAGCTACGCTGCTCAAAATTACTTTGAAATGATAGAAATAATCTAATGATATTGTCCTACTACATTAAGATGTAGAATACAATAGTTCACCTGGATCCTTTTGATTGTCTATATGAGAGAGAGAGCAACAAGGAGAGAAAGAGAGAAAAACAAGACAAATATGCACAATTAATGAGCAAGTGAACCAAAAACTACACCCTAGATGTGTGGTACCAATGACTTGCAAAGTGTCTGCCCAATGCCTTCAACTACTCTCAACAAAATGGATGCCACTATAAAAGCCTTCCGCGCAAAGGGTAATACTGGTGCATCACATAGATGGAGAGTCAGCAATTAACATTCTGAGATGAAGGCAAGCAATGGCTTAAGGTAGAAGTGAATCATTGAATCCTAAAATGTCAAAAACTCAGATGATCCATCAGCAGCTTGAAATTGAGAAAGGATTAAGGTATGTAAAAAGAACATGTATGTGTATGATTACATTTGTTTAATTAGTCACAGACAAGACAGACTAAGATTAAATTATTTCCACATACATCTAGCAGGATGCTTTCATCCACAGTAAATAAACAGTTCATTTCTCATGACCAGTTCCATGACACTGGCTAGATATGCGAGTCCTGGCTTTGTATAGTGTACCAATGACAAGTGCTTACAACTCAGGAATACACAGAAGCAAAGTAAAAATGCATTCAAGTCACAGACAATAACAATAACTTAAAATTTTACAGATATTTTGAGTTCATCACAAACAATGGGCCATGTGTAAAAACCTGGTGTAGATCAAAAGCTGGACTTCAAACATTCGAGATCACAAACAGAAGCAACAGACAAGGAGGCTGAGGGAGGAAAAATGCAAGAGTGGGATTGGTCAGGGACTGACTTTGACTGGTATTAGAATCATGTCAACAGAAAGAGCGAAAGACAGTGTGGAAAGGATGTGGTAAGTACTCACGAATGGTTAAATCCATCACTTGAGAGGCCAAGCAGTAGACAGGATGCTCATACATTTCTCTGTTTTTCCCTATAAAAGAGGATTTGGGCATGCAAGAAGCTTAAGTCAGAAGTAAAGAGATCATAGATCAGAGGAAAATTATATTAGGTCAGAAAGAATAAAAAAAAGCTTTGGTGTTGTTTGGGATATTCATAGGACAGCAGGAAAAAGTTATTTGAATTTGTAGTTAATTCAGGTTTAACCATTCAGCATGCTCATGAGTCACAAAAGAAGCTGTGACCATGATTCTGACAAATCTCTTCAGATTTTGTAATCTGTTAATGATAAAACATAATGAATAAAGGAAAACAGGATTTTGTTGATTTAGGCTACAAGATACTAAATGCAGATGCTTTTAGTATCTACACCACTCTCAGGTATTTCTTCATAGGCATAGTCATAAGTACTTCCCCAGCTGATTGATACTTTGAGTCAGGCCATTAACACTGTACAGTTAGGATTTTTTTATTTTGACAGATTACATGATATGTTGTCAAATAGATACTAAGGATAGCCAATTCAGCTTTGAAATTTTTTTTGCATGTTATTAATGAAACAATTAGACAGGGAAGCTATTGATATAGTTGAATATTTCAGACAGTATATTTGAGCTATTTTCAATAAAATACAGAATGGACTATGCCCATGTAAGGAAACCTGATACATGCAGTTGGTGAATGCTGGGTTGCTGAGATCACAATCCCCGCATGCTGGCCATTAAGTACTTCTACAGCCACTTTTTTAGGAATATAAAAAAGTGACTAAGTCAATAAACAAGAAAGGAGAGAAGCAGGAAAGAACAGGTAGTGCAGAATGAATTACTTCTCTGAACAAAGAGCTGGAAAAAAAAGTGTTTGGTTGCTTCATAGTATTCCCAGACCTAAAAGTCACAGTGCAAAAGAGGGTACATTAACGGAATTGAGGCACAAAGGGAAATAATCAAACACTGTGGGATCTACACTGGAATTGAATGCATTTTTACTTACACATACCGATCTTGTGCTCAAGCTTACTAGAAATGCACTCAGCTGTCTAAACTTGCAGTCAACTGCAGATCTCACCAGCTAATTAAGAATCTAACATTTTCAAACAATAAAAAAGTTAGTTTTTACATTATTCCACAATATTATGTTACTGACAAAGAAAAAGAAATATAATCTTGAGCCTTAACATACTAAAATAAATTAAACTTCTAATTCTCCATCTATTTTTCAGATTCTTGTTACAAAATGCCTTTAGTGCCCAATTCTTAATTCAAATATTGACATTATTTGCCACCTAGCTACTCCCACTAAATGAAAGCCCTCCTTTTCATACACAATTTACTTTTGTGACAACAACCAGATGAAAGAATACTATTATCTTACAAAATATACAAGTGACTACCATCTTAACACCTTCAAGCAGCTGTTCACATACTTCTACTCTTCAAAAATGAGCAGTTTCCATAAAGTCATAACTGTGGCTGATTATCATTCAAGGAATCATTCCACCGGTCTTAACACAAAGAGATTCTATAATGCTAATCTATGTATCAGTCTGTTTAACTAACAGAAATGTCTTACTCATATTGGCCCAAGAAACTAATGATTCACCTGTACATACTGCAGACCTGTAATTGTGTAAGCAAGGGAGTGAGGACAGACTGGTCAAACATTAAAAGCAATTTGAAACATGTCAATTATCAAATAAACATTTGTAAACCAAAATCAAAATGCATTAGTATAGGAGGACTATAGTTAATAAGATTAAAACATCATATCTTGCTTTCAAAGTTTAAACAAAACCTCCTATTTTTGTATCAACAATATAAGAATTTATAAAATCCTGTTGAATAGAACATTAAAATCTGTGAGTGCCACAAACGTAAACAAATCAAATATGAACTTGACCTCAACAAACTTTGTTATCACTGCACATATTGTTCTTATTAGGTTTTCAGATGATGCCCTTTCATGCTATTTGAGGGTGACTTTCTAGTTTAAATGTTTGAGGATGAATGTTCGTTTAGTTCTCCAGCACATTTGACTGAACTTCGTGAAAGAACTTTAAAAATGATAGAAAAACAAGAGTAAACAGTATCATTCTGAACCCTCCACAGCTCCTGCAGCAAAGCAATGGCAGAAAAGTAGGAGAAACCACATGAAAATTCACTTCTCTTGTATTTAATTCTGTTTATTTCTCACTCCTTTTACTTCTCACTCCTTTTACTCTCTCCAGGCACTGAAATGTCTATGGATGGGAAGTTAAGTAATTTTGTCCTAGGCTCCTATCTTCACTGACAAGGCCCAAACAGGATGTGTAGTTGTGACCTGTGGATGCCTTCCTGTCCTACTCTTATACCCTTTAGGAGGTTGTGCCTATCTCTTCACATGACACATGCATAATGGAAATGGACAACTCAGCAAGTGTTAAAAGAAACAAAGGTTTGTCTTTCATACATAGTGCCACACGGTAGTAAGATCTTCCATATTTCAGACGGTCTTGGACACAGATATAAGTGACAGTGGATCTGAAGTTACCATTCTGTCTTATTTCACTTTGCAGCACAACATAATATATGGCTCTTTGGAAACCTTTCTAATTGTGATAGTAAAGAAAAAGCTTACTTCTTTTCATAACTGTTGGTGATAATGAAATGTTTTAACTGTAGTTGAGAATTCTGTTTTTATTGCATAGTGTATCTAGTATTGTAGGTCACTTTCCAGAGAGATTCCCATATTTAAAGTATTGATCATGATAAATTAGATGACTGAGTAAATTATAATTCACAAGCTCGTGTAGGTTTGAGTTTGTAGATGCATTTTGTTGAAACACTGCAGTATAGAATTTATCACTCATTTTCCAGTTTTTAAACAAACAAAAAAACTTGTTTCTGATTTGGCTGCACTGAGTACCTGATACTATTAATAATGGTTGGATAAATCAGCAATCCACAGCTCATAAATCTTTCATTGTTAATGTATATTTACCTACTTACAGTTAAAATAGGTCAACAGTACAAGTACTGTATAACCTGAAGCTTTGGTTTTAAAATGAGTTAACAATTGTAATTAAATAGTTTAGCCATTCTTAGTAACTGAAGTCACAAGAGAGTGTTTAATTGTTTGATAACATCTAAATATTCTAATTCGAAAATGTAACACTTCTGAATCAACACTTATTAACATCCAGATTTTTCTTAATACTCGGTGTCCAAGGGCTTCATCCAGTGAATTGCATTCATATGAAACTGTTCTGTTACTTACCTTCAATTTTGGCATACTCAGAAAGTCGTGTGTAGTTCACTAGAGCAGCTTTCTCCAGACATTTCCGAATGACAACTTTAACTTCCTCTTGAGGAACAGGTGTTACTATATCCTTCATGAGCACCTTTGCAATGACAGAAATGACAGCGCATTATATTTAAATCCTCATAGTCTTTATGACTTTTCCTAACACCGGAAGAAGTTGGATTTTTTGGGAATTAATGTCTCCACTAAAGACAGTATCTGACTACAGTGTCGAGGAAGAATTCTTAAAGATACTGGATAACAATGCCAAATTAAATAGATACTATATATAATAAAACAGGAACTACTCACCCTCTCCAGGAGAGACAATGTAGCCTTTAATGCACCCTCAGGCCGCCCAAAAGGAAAGCAATACCTGTTAGCAAGACAGATGTTATCAATTTCTTTCCAACAGGGTGAGGATGAATGCTCATTTGGTTCTCCAGCACATTTGACAGAAAAATCACAATTCACTGGATATCCCCAATGTTCTTATTAATGTAGATTTGAAGAACAATATCTTAACCTGCATTACAATATCATCCAGTACTCACCTATCTACATGGCGCTGAGGCAAACAAGTGGAACTGATGAAGATAGGTAGCTGAATAATCTAGCTCCATGTTTTACATCCATTGAATTTTAAGAACTCACTGAAGGATTCTGAATTTTGTTGGCAAAACCAGCATTCATTGCACATCCCTAATTGCCTACAAGAAGGTTATATTCTAGCCATATTGTCGAATCACTACAATTGTGGTGTAGGTACATCCACAGTACAATCGAAAAACCCTTAATAAGTTGCTTCTTTATTAAGGGGTGTGAATGTTGAAGGTGTTAGATGATGTTCCAATCAAGCAGGCTCCTTGGTCCTGGATGATGTTGAGCTTCTTGAGTATTGTTGGATCTGAACCCATCTAGGGAAGTGGAGAGCATTCCATGAAACTCCTGATGATCCTGCTACACAGTGGACAGGCTTTGAGAAGTCAGGAGGTGAGTTACTCACCAGAGAATTCCCAGCCTCTGACTTGCCCACAGTCACAGTATTTATATCAGTGGTGGTAGTTCGTATTTAGGATGATGGTAATGCTCAAGATATTAATAGTAGGAAATTCAGTGATGTTAACTTCACTGAATACCAAAAGGGTGTTGGTTGGATTCTCTGTTGTTTGAAATGGTCATCGCTTGACAATTGTGTAGTGCAAATGTTACTTGCCACTTATCAGCTCAAGTCTGAACCTTGTGCCAAAATTAGGAAGGTTGTCCTACGGACTTGTGAAGAAACAGCCTGACATAGTAACACATGTGGAATTGTAAGTTGTAGCCAGCATCCCAGACACCACCATTCCTGAGTATGTCCTGTCCCACGGACCAGACAAACTCACAAAACCCAGTAGGTTGATGCTAAATAAGTGAGGCTTGCTAATGCTGTCAACGAAACCTCCTTTCATTTTGGCGATGGAAGGTGGAGTGTTAGGGGTATAATTGACTGGTTGAGATCTGCTTTGCCTTCATGTAGACAGGTGATACTTGCACGGTTTTCCATATTGTCTCATATATGCCAGTGGATCATTGGAGCCTACTGGAACAACTTGGCTATAGATATAGATATTTCTAGAGCACACTTTTTCAGTACTACAGACAGAATGTTGTCAGGCCAAATAGCCTTGCTATACCCAGTAGCTTCACATAGAGTGAACTGAATTGGCTGATGACCAACAGTTGATGTGTTGAGGATCTCAGGATAAGCCAAAACAGATTATCAATTCAGCACTTTAGGCTGAAATTGTTTGCAAATACTTCACCTTGATCTTTTGATCTAATGTGGTGGCCTCTTTCATTATTGAAGATGGGGGTGCTTCTGGAGCCTCCCATGTTTTATTGTTTTTATTGAACACCACAGTTCATGACTGGATATGGCAAGGCTGCAGAGATCTGTTCTGATCACTTACAACCAAGTGCTATCCCTTTGACAAATAAACATGAGTATCCTGTTGTAAATTTCTGAGAATTTTCAAGGCATATAGCTTCACTTTACAACAGCAAGATCACTGTCTACTGCTGGTTAAGCACTGCACGTGAGCACAAGTTGGAAACTTCTCTGGGTCCTGAAGCACAAAAGCAGCAAACGTCTAGTGCCATCAGAAAATTCTGGCCGTTAAGTTGTGTTTCACTGTACTCACCACTCAAATCAAACAGCCTTATATTGCTTTCAGTAAGTGGAAAGTGCATCAACTAGCTTGGCATTCTATCTGCTTGTATTCACCTAAAGTGAGTGATCTGATTCTCAAGTAGTATGCGCAGTCTCTCCTTGATCTCCTCGAAACGTTCTTTTTCTTCTACTGTTACAGTTCCTATTCCATCAGGCCTGGAAAAACACAAAATAACACTTAGAACCCTTTGTTCATAATAGCATTAACTACCAGATATCTGAGAGATAAAATTGATAATTTTTCCCTTTGCTGTACTCAGTTCAGTACATAAAAGTATATCCAATTCTTAAGGTATGAATGTGGCATACACAAAATATGGTTTTGTGCTTTTATATTGAAGTTCTTAAGCAGTCCATCAAAATTTCAGCTGGAAGCTTGGCTTGAACTACATACTGAATTATTTTACAAATGATCAACAAACTATAACTAAATAACATCAATTTTGTTTTCAAGATCAAATGTTTTTGTGAACATTGTATTATGAAGCAGAAATGCAGTGCAGCACATTACTAGTTAAAAGACAACATAATTATTTTAGTTTTTATTATGGTTGCACTAAGGTTTGGTACATATGTTCTTTGCAGGCTATTAAACAAAATTTTGGAATAGAAAGTGATTTAACATTATCTTAACTCAGGAAAGGTTAGTGCAAATTTCCCCCTCCCTTTTCCCCCCCCAAAAAAAGTGGTTTTTGGGCATTGAGCAAGCAAGACATCTGCCATAGGGAGATTGCTAGAATTCATTACTAAGGAGATGAGAGCAGGGTATTTGGAAAATCAAAACATGATCAGGCAGAGCCAACATGGTGTTGAAAGGGAAATTGTTTAACTAATTTATCAAGAGTTTTTGAGGAAGCAACAAGCAATATGAATAAAAGTGAATCTATGGATGTGGTGTATTTGAATTTGCAAAAGGCATTTGCAAAGGTGCCACATCAAAGATTGCTACACAAAATAAGAACTCATGATATGACAGCTAATGTAATGCATGGATAACAGATTGGTTAATTAATAGGAAGCAGAGGTAAATATAAATGACTTTTTTTCTTCTTGAAAGCTTAACTAGTTGAGTGTCACAGGGATTGGTTCATAATGTATTTTAATGACTTGGCTGTGGTAATCAAATGTATAATCGCTATATTTGCTGACGGCATGAAAATATGGAAGGAAGATAAGTTGACAAGAGGAGGTAGACAATCTGCAAAGGGATAAAGATAGGTTAAGTGAGTGGGCAATAATTTGGCAATTGGAATATTATGTGGAAAAATGCAAAGTTATGCACATTTCCCAGGAGAAAGAGAAACATTGTTTGCTTTTTAAATAGAGAAAGATCGCAGAACTTGGTGGTGTTGGGGGATTCCGAAAAGATAAGATGTGGGTATAGCAAGTAATCAGGAGGTAAATAGAATATTTGTGCTCATTGAAAGGGATTGGAGTAGAAAAATAGGGAAAATTTCCTGTAGCTGTACAGAGACTACATCTGGAGTACCATGCATAATTTTTGTCTCCTTATTTGGAAACGGATATAATTGCATTAGAAGTCATTCAGAGAAAATTCACTTGATTCATTTTTAGGATGAACAGCTTATTTCATGAAGCAAGTTGGTCTTTGCCAACTAGGGTTTAGAAGAATAAAAGATGTGGTTTTATCGAAACATAGAAAATCCTAAGGGGGGCTTAACAGGGTAGATTATGAGAGGATATTTTCCATTGAAGAAGAGACTAGAACTAGGGAAAACATTTTAATGAGAGGTCCCCTTTTAAGACAGCGGTGACAATTCTTTTCCTCTCAGAGAGTTGTTAGTCAGTGGAATTCCCTTCTCCGAAAGCAGTGGAGACTGGTTAATTGAATTGATTCACGGTTAAGTTAGATAGATTTTTGATTGACAAGGGAGAAAAAGTTTATGGAGGGGTGAAAAGAGGGGGGAGGCAGACAGAAGAGCACAGCTGAGGCCACAGCCTGATCAGCTATTTTCTAATTGGATGGCAATGCAGATTTAAAAGGTAGAAATGGCCTACTCTTGCCCCTAAATCCTGTCTAGCCGCAAACCACCAGTAATGCTAACTCAAGGCCTGGTCCATTTGGATATGTGGGCCTCGTTAGCACTGGGGCAATGGACTGCTTCCAGATAATCAAGGAATGCTGGATCAGCAATTGGGACCAAACTGTCATTCTGGCACCAGGAGAAACTCTTCTTTCTTGACGCCCAAGGATATACAGTAACTTATCTATTATTTCTCCTTCAGCCCAGGCTCCAGCTGATATAGGCCAGTGCTGTAAGGGTGCCTGTTCTGCCCAGTACAGTCCAGAACTGGCGTCAGAATCCAAGTGACATCAAGTGATCCCAATTTAAATATTTCAGTTTACTTGGTGCCTTCATAAAGTAGTTGTTCCTGCCACCCACTCAAGTGACCCAGCGAAATAGCAATAGTCACTCAGGTAACAGTAACAGGATAAAAAGTTACAATGGTCCCCTTTCAGGTTGCTAACACTCTTGCTCCACAGTACAGAAGATCTGTACGATTAATCCATTTTCTGACGAGAAAACTATGCTGACATGAAATTGCCCTTTTTTAAAAAAAAAATTTGATGGTGACAATCTTTCCCAGTTTTAATCATTAATCTTGCTTCTGAGATTAATCTGTAGGTACAGCCCTGGAACATTTTCAGACTAATGTTATAGCACTTAAGTAATTTAAGTATACTTACAAATTGTAATGTAAATAAAGCCCTAATTTTATTAAAGTGTGTTTTTTGTCTTCATTGAACTAAAACGAGCTAAAAATGTTTGTCATCTTGTGGATTTTAAAGATGACAAATTGTAATTTATTCAAAAAAAGACACCGCACAATTTAAATATCTCTGTGTTAAATACTCAGTGCCATTTTTTGACCTTGTCTAATTAGTAAGCAGGGAACATATCATTAAAACAACAAGGTTGTTTTTCCCAGGCTATTTCCACTATGGCTTAAGTTTTAGATGAAGTGTGTTTTAAAGGAGAGAACAAATTCAGTTCGGCACAAAAAAGTGTTTCCTTATTATTTCACAACTTCAGGTTAAACAATATGGATAGTTCCTGAATATTTACACCAGCCAATAATCCATAATAAGAGAGAATGAGGCCGACCTAATCCTTTCACGAAAGGAAGCAACGGCCCAGACAAACAACATTACTAGGTTCTTCAGTCAAAAGCAAAGTAGAGGGATTTGTATTTTGCTATCCAGTCCACACTAGCTCAGTCTCCCTTTCTGTAGTGTGAGTAGACTGTGAATAGAATAAACAGTCCTTTTCCATTGGCCTCCTTCAGTGTACACTTTAAGCTGTGCAAATCCCCAGCACCAGCCTGTTTGGCAACACAAAAGCATGATAAAGGATTACAGAACCTTTAATAAACCTCCTGTCAGGGGTTAATTGGTCAGCTTTACTTCTCTTTATTTGCAAGCATCATTGTGACCTTAGGCTCAGAAATTACAATCTACACTGCAGTGACCAATAAGATGGAAGCTGTTAATATGGCAAATCATCTCACATGAAATCCTACTCTTGAGCTTGGAAAGCACATTCTTTTTACACTTATTTTGGTGAAGGTTATTGTTACAAGTGACACCTTTTCTCTTAATTTACAGTTTAAAAAATCTCAGAACATTATAAATAAGCTTTGCCCTATACAAATAATGTGCAGATTTATATCTAAGAACAAACAATGAAAAAATGCTGGATAAAGGGTTTGCAACTCTAATTTTGCATCTACTTCTAAAAGTGCTGTAATACATTTGTTTTATTGAAATGGAGAATGATAAGATCTTTAATTCACTGAACTAAGCCTTTGGTTTAAGATTTGACATTCTCACCTGTTTATAACGTATTAATTATTAAAGCATTATTGAGATATTAATGAAATTGTGCTAGCAAAAGGAATCACTATTTGAGCATTTAAAAGATAAACAGTTCCTAATATTTCCATTTTAACATTACGGTAAAACAGAAATTCCTCCCAGCACATTCAGATGCAAAACATTTGGGTATTTGAGCTCAAAGCTCTGATGAACTAAGACGACAAAATGACATTTATAGTATTATTAACAAAATACAAAGACCTTACTGGATTTTCTTTCCTAAATTATTTAAGGTTATAGCTCCATAATGTATTGAAAAGGACCAGCATGTGCTAATACAAAAAGTAAAATATAAACATATTGAAGAATTAACCTAAACTCCTTTTAAAAATTCTATTTGTTTCTGATAATTGTAAAAATTCCAGCCCTTATTCAAAGCAGCTGTTAACAACTAGCTGTGATGTGCAGAACTAGTGACCGAAACTGAGAATTTGACCACAAGTGTGGTACAATCTACAGGTCAATTGTAGCCATTTTCAGAGTGGTCTCGATGTCTCGGAGGGCCTGCCAACTGAAACTCGTCATGGCCACTAGGATTTCCTTTCTCAAACAGCTGCGGACTATATTATTTCTGACATGATGAGCGTCTTTTGACTCTACCTTTCAAAACTTCGGCAAACCATTTTCTCACTGTCGTTCACAAAGATGACATTTTCGGCAGCGTGATAGGAAAGATGTCATGTTGGTTGCTTTTCAAGTCTTTGTCACAGTGGTTAGCACCAGTTCTGTCAGCTTCACTCTCCTCACAGTCTCCTATCTCGGGCCATGTCACAAATGATAAAATTTCCAACATTTTTTGTCAAAAATTACAATCATACAACTGCTATACTACTTCTCAGCCTTCATGGCTTTGTGGATTTTTGTTACAAACTGATGGGCAAATATGAAAGGCTTTTTAAATGTATTTGTGAGTGCAAAGTTACATTTGGTTTGATTATATGAGAAACTTACTTGATAAGAATAAAATCTGAATTTTAAAAACTAATGCAGCCAATAACAAAACAATTAACTATCGACCTTTAGAGCCACAGTCAATGTTTATTTATACAAAGGAAGGAGAAAAACAGATTTCTAATGGCAGAATTTATAACAAAACATTTGCCATAGTTGGTTTAATTTGAATCTCAAAATATTACTTTCTAAAACAATATCAATTTATTAATTTGACAGTTCTTTCACAATGGTTACCATGTTTAAGGATTTTATCATTATCTATTCCTTGATAATTTTCCAAAATATCTCCCCCAAAAACACTTATATGGAAATTTTTATGCATTGCATAGGCCAAACAATTTTTATATATCATCTAAGCCTTGCAAACATTAACATGCACGTTTTGTGCAGAAACCTTTGTTACTTTCTGGATTGACATTGATCAGATAACAAGACCATTTCACTGTACTGGAACCTAGGATACCAGCTAGTTAGTTTCTTCTCAGTGACAGCTTGTCATTCTGTCAGTCTTGACCTTCAGGCTGTCCTGTAACATCTGAATCACATTCGCTCTGTACTCTCTGACTGACTGCAAGCTACTGTTGTCTCACTGTCTGACCCAATAATAACACAATACAAACAGACAACTTACTGCAACTCCATCACATGAAAAAATAATGTTTATCCTAAGCACATACGAAAATCTACATGCAGTTAGACCTACATTTGACCCTGTTTATTTCAAAATAAATGGCTACATGTTTATTTCATCCGAAGCCATTCAATGCATGAAGCATAACTTTTTGCTTTCTTAGTTCTGTTCTAATGATCACAGAGGATTTAAATAAACTCCAATATTAAAATCAGCATTTATTTTGATTTTATGTTTTAAAGTATGCCTACTGAATGCTACCTGTCTTTAACTTTTCTGAATCCCTGTGTGCAAAGGTGCTTGTGACTACGGATACTCAGGTAAACAAGTATTATGATTAAATAATTCTAGTTAAAGGCTAAAACTTGTTTTGTTTCTTGCGCCTACAAATCTTTCTTCAAAATTAATGTCAGTGTGGGTTTCTAACTTCTAATGATGCATTTGAGAGTCTCTTGTGAAACAGTGACATGTGGATCTGCCTCATTGTTCCTTCTAGCCAGGCTCGGAGTGTGAGAGACCTAGTTGCAAAACATTTTCATCATCCTCGGCAGGCATCTTTCAAAGGCATGCTTTATATAACTTAAACGTATAAAACTTTAAGTGATGTCCAACATATGCAAAACTAAATAATGAGGATGTCAAATACCTGTGTAAGTAATTTTGAGGTCCAGGATTTAGTTTACTAACTTGTTCTGCTGGGAGTGCTTTGCATTTGTAATTCCTTAAATAGCAATTCTGGGATGTCAACTGTCAACACCAGGCACAATACGAAAAATAAGTAAGTATCCACAAGGAGAATCAAGAGAATTGGAGGACAAGTGAATTTGCAAATTATCACATACCTTCTTTAGGCCAGCTACAAAGTAAAATTAACAGAGGCCTTGGAAAAGAATGTTTGATCAGGAAATTAAATTTATTACAGAAACAAGGAGGAGGAAATCAAAGAATGGAAATAATGAAAGAAATCAATATGGAGAGGAAAAGAAATGTTCACACACAAAGACCTGCTGCCACTTCTACTCAAATTAGCTAGTATCATTGCAACGCAAAATCTAAGTTTTTTCCTATCATTTAACTGCACAAAATGGCACTTACCTTTTTGGCTCTGGTTTTGGTTGCAACTTGGGATCCTTTCTAGAACCTTTTCTAGACTCCTTTCTGTCTTTTTTTAGGTCACACTCTGGCTCATTTACTGAGGGATTGATTGACTTATCCCCCTCACCATCTACAATTGGCTGTGACACAAGTGATCCTGCAACTTGCACACTTTAAAGGATAGGTGGTTTGTAGAAAGCCAGAAACAGAACCAAGGAAGCGTGAAAGAAAGATCAAAGTACGACAAATTAAAGAAAACATGGCAAGAAATAATGAAAAAATGTGTGGAAAATAGAAGCCAACAAAATCAATTCTAAAGCAATAAGTCACACTTCTTTAAAAAATGTCAATTAAAATGAAATATATATCTTCTGCAGATCATCCAGCATATCACAAAGCATTAGTTTATGTGAAGTGTTCAGTAAATCTAAATAGAACTTAACCATGCTTAAATAAAAATGGTGGCATTTTAGCATAGTCCACTAAAGCAGCACTATCTATCATATCAGTGGATGTACTGATTCTTATAAATTGCAACACAAAAGATTGACTGCTTCAATTTCTTATAATTGTCATTCTATTAAGAAATATTTTCTACCGTACAATGCAGCCAACTCCAACATATATTGGTATAACTCAAATCAACAGAGATACCTGCAGATATTTCTAATCAATCTGTTCAGTGATATCATGACAACCTTGGGAACAAGTGGGACTTGAACCCAGGACTCTTGCTCAGAGGTACGGACACTACCACTGTGGTGCAATGACCCTCGTAGCTGTCCCCTATATATAATATATACATACACATATGCACACATGCTCACATGCTTTATTGATGATGTGTGTGAAGGCATTTATGAGATTTGCTCCTACCCTATGGTTATTTCATATTTTAAACTGACTAGTCTATCATTTGGTTTGGGTAGTGTCACCAACACATAACACTTTAAACAGCATGGATAATTCATACAGGTGATATGTCTGATAAAATTATTGTTTGGAAGTAATACAAAGTTAAAATGAAGGGTATGAGTGCACTAGTGCTTTGTGATATGCCAGAGTCGAATAGAAAACATGGGTGCAACCAGTGAATGGAAATGATCATCTTATGTTGTCAACAATTCATTCCCTTCATTTCCAACCATTATGAATTTTGGATTATAAATACTTAGTCTTTTGCATAAGACTAAAAGAAACATCATTGTTTAATTTGTCATAATGACTTTGTCCCTTAAGTTAACTGCTGTTGAACGCTACCTGTTGCCATGAACATGTGAAGCACAGAAGGCAAAGCTGTAGTGAAGCAGGGTTGGATCAATCATCGCTCCATTTTCTGCCCTTTCAAGCAAATCATTGAGGTAGCAGAGATGTCGGTGACAGCCTCTAGTTCCATAGCGTGCACAATATTCATCCAGCACGAATACCTGGCCAGGGCTAAACCAGCCCTGTGAAATAGAAAATAAAAATTTTTTAGAAAATGTTTGAAACCAGATTTGATGTTATTACCAACTGAATGGGATATTTAAATACATGTAAATCAACTATTAGCAATATACTAGTTGAAATATCTTTCAGAAATCTACACTTGAAAAAGAAACTGTTATGAAAGTTTATGGTAAAATTAAGTCACCATGCTGCAAGCAAAATGAAACAGTTTTTGCGGGGAACTTTGTGCTCATCAACATGTGGAATTTGATGCTACTTATGTAATGACTTATTGCTTTGAGCATCAAGCACTGTAAACTTTGCTTTGGCGAAGCCATTTGTAAGATAAAAGTTGTTTTACTCTTCTTTTTGGAGATTGTAAATGTAAACTTATTAATAACTGAGCAACTTTATTGTAAAGGACCACGCTCACTAGATCCTAGACTAAGACTATCCAAACCTATTCCAAACAGAAGATTACACCAACAAAGACTTTGTAGAGTAGATAATTGTGTAAGGGGGACACTCATGTTCTCTCATGTTGGGATCAGGTTTCCCTATTCTCCCTGGCCCAATCTGCCAGCTCAACGCAGGAATGTGCTACATCTCAAAAAGGACAAGCTACAACAAGTGCTCATATGTTGTTCATATCTTGACAGGTATGTTCACATGAGGCCTGAAGATTGAATACCCTCCATTCGTCTGGATGAGTGCAGCTCCAACAACACTGAAAAAACTTGACACAATTCAAGACAATGTAGCCCACTTCACTGGTATCCATCCACCATCTTTAACATTCACTCCTTACGCCACTGATGCACTGTGTATCAATGTACATCTAAATGCAAATCACATAGTATTATCTAAAAATACACTGCAGCAAGTCACCAGGACTCCTTTGACAACACCTTCCAAACTTTGCGTCCTCAGAAATTGCCAAAGGCTGTGGCAATTTTGACAGACTTTCTGTTCTTCTGCTCAGGTGCTTCACACCCTGCTGGGAGGGCAGGCAGAGCTTTGTTTTAACTTTTAAATGTGGGGCAGCATGTTTAAAAATCAGTAATCCCTTAGCATTGAATTGGAGAAACAGCCTAGACTATGTGCACAGTCTTAGGAATGTCTCTAAGACCCATAACATTCTGCCTAAGTGGTGAGAGTGCCGCCAAGCTCAACAGCTTTGCATATAGTCAACTCAAGCAAAAAATAATTCCAAAATTCCTTACAGCGCGATGAAGGGAAAAATGTACCCCAACATCGAGAAAAAAAATTCAGACAGGTGAAGAAAAGTTTAAGTAGTAGATTTTTCTTCAAGCAAGGGAACGAAATGGCCTACAAAGAATACACCAGGTCATAGAACCTCCAAAGCTCAAGGCACATCCATCCAAGGTAGGATAAAAGGAAGGCAGGATGAAGAAGGAGCTGATAAAGTGGAATGGAGAGTTGGGACAGCAATGTTGTGCCAGAGAGGTAAGTGGTTGTGGGGTCATAGAAAATTTAAAAACGAAACATAATTTGATGTTTCACACCATGAAGGACCAGGAGTTCGTATGGGTTAGTAGGAAAGAATGACTAACTAGAGGTGCGTGGGGGTGACAAAGGCAAAGACGAGAATTGCAGTAACAAATGGGTCAAAGAAACATTGGAGAAAGCTAATTTTACAGAACTGGAAGTAATTAGTGAAGGACTGGATACAGGATCAGAGCCAGCTCATGGTTGAATACAATGTGAAGGTGGGAACAATCTGGTCTGAGACACTAAGGTGAGCAAATAAAGATTTGGCAGGGTCAAGCATGATGGGTTCAGACTCTCCCACATTTAACTGGAAGAAATTTTGACCTAACCAAATAGGATATAAGATGAGCAGTTTGGCAATGCAAAGGCAGTGGAGGGATCGAAAGAAGTGGTGCATGAATTAGTTTTCCATCATTAGCAAGCTAGTTGATGTTTACGGAAGAGTTTTGAATATTGACTTGAATCAGGTGGGAATGCAATAATGTGAATTGCGTGTTCATTCAGGAACAGCAGCATGAAAGTTTGGCCTATTCCACAAATCAACAAGATATTGCATTGGATGTCACTGGAGAAGGTCTGGGCAAATGGCCCAGGTAAATTAAGTTGTGGACCTTGGCCAGGGAATTACAGTTAAGGCAAGGGGGGAATGGCAGAATTTTAAATTCTTTCCTTGCCGGCCCCTCTTCAATCAGGTTTCACTGCTCTGTAGTCCTGCCACATTCAGTTATGAATGGTGGTGGACAATTAAACAACTTACTAGAGAAGAGGGCTCCACAAATATCCCCATCCTCAATAATGGGGCAGCTTGGCATAGCAGTACAAAAGATAAAGTTGAAGTATTTGCATCCAGCTTCAGCAGGAAGTGTTTGGTGCATGGCTCACCTTGGCCTCTTCCAGAAGTCCCTAGTATCACATATGACAGCCTTCAGCCAATGCAATTCACTCCACATGTCATCAGGTAAAGGTTGGAGGCACTAGATGCTGCAAGCCTATGGATCCTCTCAACATTCCACCAAGAGTACTGAAGATCTGTGCTCCAGAATCGGTCGTGTCCCTTTCCAAGCTTTTCCGATACAGCTGCAATACCGAGTAGTGTGGAAAATTGTCCACATATGTCCTATCCATGAAAAGCAGGAAAATCTAATCTGGCTATTTACAGCCCTCAATTAATCTGCACTCAATCATCATTAAAGAAACGGAAGGCATCTTTGAAGATACCATTCAAGCAGTAATTGCTCCACAATAACCTGCTTACTTTGTGTTCCAGCAGGCTCACCAAGCTCCTGACCTAATTACAGCCTTGCAACGAACATGGACAAAGAGGCTGAACCCCAGAAATGGTCAAAAGAGACTTCCCTTGACATTAAGGCAACATTTGAATGGCTATGGGACAACAAGGTGCAGGGCTGGATGAACACAGCAGGCCAAGCAGCATCATAGGAGCAGAGAGGCTGAC